TTCAAATCACTGTACTCTTTCTTGTAAAGGTAACTCACTCATTCATTGGAATCATCGATCTCTCTTCCCGCGGGTTCCTCCATTTCTCGGTACTCACAACTCCAATCCACATTTCCACGAACTCACTTGCACCTTTTCAATCACCGGTACTCTTTTTTTAGCGGTAATTCACTCACTCACTCACTGAACTCATCAATCTCTCCTCCTGCAACTTCCTCCATTTCTCTTTACTCATAGCTCCAATCCACATTTCTGTCACTCACAGTCTCTTTCCACTCTCCTATTCCATCTATCATGGTTTTCATACTCCATTTCTTTAGCTATTCATACATTTCTTCAACACTTACAGCCACAACTCCATATTTCATCTTCATCCTACACTTGAAATTTAAATTTACTATACCTCCAGTCTCCATTTTTTCTTTCCACACTTCTGTAGCTCGCACCGTCACCGTCTTTCTTCTCCCGCTCTCTCTTCTCGTTCCTTCCCTCTTCAGCTTCTCTCTCTCTCGAATCTTTTCTTCCCTGTTTCCTCCTCTCTGTTTTTCCCTTTTTCTTTCCTTTTTTCCTTTTCTTTTCCTTTTCTTTTCCTCCCTTTTTTTTTTCTTTCCTCCTATTTATATCCCCCCTACCTCTCATCCTGACTGTCGATCCTATCTCATCCTAGTCGTCCACTCCCTCTTCTCCAAACGACACCGTTCCCTCTTCCTCTCCCCAAATATATAATTATGTTTATATATTATTAATATTAGTATTATTACCATATACTTATATATATAAATACAATTTTTTTAAAAAAAATCCCAAATATCAACTACTACACACACTCTCTCTCTCTCTATATATATATATGTACCCTTCACCTCTAAATCATTACAGCTTAGTAAAAACAAGGGAAGAAAAAAGGGAAATCTCCTTGGGAGAAGTAGTATTTTCATGATCTTTTCTTGATGAAAATGGAAGTGTTTGGTTCGATAGAAAAATCCTATAACAAAACTAACAACGCCAAGTTCTCCAACATGCTAATTGCTTCTTCTTCTTCTTCTTCTTCTTCTTCTTCCTATCACCAATATAATCCTTATATTTACCATGGTCCTCAAGCTTACACAGTGAAACAAGCTGTAGGTACTGGGAGCGAGACGACACAGTTTTATGGGCAGCAGGCGGCGCCATTAATTTACCAAGGACCTCAAGTAAGAGACGAATTAGTGGTTGTAAGTAGTGATGAACCAGCTCGTAGATACTGTGTTTGTCAGGGTCACCATGTCTCTGCAGTCAGAGGCTCTGACTCTTTGGATTCTAACTACACCGCTCAGTCCTGCCATGGCCGAGTACTCATGGAGTTCCGTAAGAAGAAATCACTTTCTTGGGGCTTTTAATTATATACTCTCCTTTCTTTTGCTACTACATATCTTTATATATATATATATATATACGTATTAGATACAGTACTAGCTAGCTACTGTGAAAACCAAGAAAGGGTGTAGCTAGTTTTATAATGGGTAGAGCTATATATATATATATATAGGATGGTTTTGTACTGTATGTTTTGGCTTTGTAAGACAAAAATTTCTACGTATATCGTCTTAATTCAATAATTTCCAGTCTGTGTATTGTTCTCTCTCTGTATAATTATGATAATTCGCATGATTGCGGGTAAAAGTTTTGCTCTTTTCTGCTAATTTTGTTTTTTCTGCCATTAAATTCAACAGTTTTTTAGATGAATCTTTGAAATAATTGTGATTAATTAAATTTTATATCATTTAAGTAATAAATTAATCTTCAAAATGGCGAACTTTTTCAAGCAAATTGGTTTCTGGTTTTTCTTTAATTAGGCTAGCCAGCCTTACAAACAGATAGAACTATTTTTCCTCTGAAAAAATCTTATATTGAAGTTTTTATTTATCTCATAAATGAATTAGTCGATGTAAATTTAAGATGATACGGTGGTTTTATTATAAAATTAATAACTCGAGTTTGAATTATATATATATATATAAAATCAATATAAATTTTTAAATAACTTACGTAAAAATTTGTCCTCATTCTTCAGGATATTTCCATAAAGAAGAACAAATTCTCAGTGCATAATAAGAAAGAGATCTGACAAAGTAACGAGAGAGAATGCTCTAAAATTGTTGTGTAACATCAATTAGTAAAAAAAGAACACATTCTGAGTCTCTACATAAATTTGAACATATAAACGAAAGCTATATATACAAACTAAGAGTAAACACAAGAAATAATAAGAAGAACAAGTATTATTTAATACTACTTCCCCTTAAGTTGGTGCCTGTGAATTACCAGTCCACATCTTGCTAAGCATGAGAAGATAAGATCCTTTTTGGAAATGGCCATAGAATCTAACCAGAACGAACAGACGAACATGGGAAAACCCTAAATTGGAAAAACACACTTCTCCCTCAAATAGAGAGCTTGATGGAAATGGATTCAAACAGTTTTATCCCGTTGATCGACACATGCAACAGTTTCTACTTAGTAAAATTCACAAAAAAAAGTATATTTCGATTTTGTTCTAATGAGATTCGTGAGTTCTAACGAATCACTATCTGACAGTAACGCGACAGACTCCAAATTTCGACACGTAAGAGACTATGACATACAAGATTGTTATGCGGATTAGGTTTTCAGCCCTTTAAGTTAAGTATTTTGACACAAATTTTTTGGAGACCAAACTGAAACCTCATTTTTGTAAGCATCAGCTCTCTAATTACAAGAGGGAAATTTACAAGTAAGGGTAAGTAAATTATCGGTTCGATTAATTTGAGTAAAAAAATTTTAAAACTAAATAAACCGATCAAATTAAAATAAGTGAATAGAACTGATCGAAGTAGTGATAAAACCGAGATCGAATTGGCCGGAATTATTCAGCCAGTTTGGTTCGTAACCAAAACATGTTCATCTTTTTGCTTTTGTAAATGTATAGTATTAGTGCATTTTTAATGATTCTTAATAGTTTTTTTAATTTTATAACAACATATCTCAAAACGTATTAGAGATTAATACACTTTCAATGACCAAATTTAATGCTACAAAGGAAACGACAAGGAGAGTAAAAGAAAGAACTTAAAGAGCTCTATTTGTTCTACTTTTAACATTCAAATAAAATTCTAAAAAGAAATAGCACCCTTCCTCTCTCTTTACACCATTCCTAAGCATACTTTCATGAATTTTCATTTTCCCTTCTTTCAATTTTCCTTCACTATCTCTCCATCCAAACATACCCTAGTGTCTACAAGCGTGACATGGTACTATTTTTTCTTTTCGATTAATTTTCTTATATATTTTTAAAAAAATTATAAACGAGAGCTCCTACTTCGCAATTAGAAGGTTCATATTTTTTGTACCTTTTGTGAAGCGAATATATATACTAATCACCTTATTTTTTACATGCATTATCGCACCGAATGTACATCTCGACTTGCTAACACATCCTAAAAACCCATCTGATGTGTAGTTGCTATCCAATTCCAAGGTAGCAGTTAGTTCACAATTAAGGCACTTCATTAACCATATCAATTCCACTTAATCCCTTGTTGATTAGAATTTCCCTGTTGATGCTTCTGCATTTTCTTTTAACCCATTAAGTTAGTATGAAATTTATTTAATTTCAATTAATTCATTAATCCTCATTTTATAAAGAGATTACCAAACACAGCCTAGCAAACACAAAAATCATGAAGAGAACACTTCCATTCAGCTTGACACTAGTTTTTCACCTAACTTGTTCAGTCCTGGTGGCCTCACCAGCCCCATCTCCAGTCCCAGCCTCCGAATTCGACTCGCCAGCATTATCTCCCGTTGCACCAGCTGATCCTCCCGGAACAGAATTTATTCCTACATTTGGAATCTTCGACGTCACTGAGCACGGAGCAGTACCAGACGGATGGACCGAAAGCAGCGCGGTATGTCCTCTCCTTTTACATTAAAGATTTCAACACGTCATGTCTATCACTATCATGTTATCTTTATTTCTTATACATTTTAATAATTAAGTGATAATTAAATTTAACTAAGCGAACTAAATATGTTACTAGCAAATATAAAACTGGTTGTATATTGTGTTGGTATAGGCATTCTCAGCAGCGTGGGATGCAGCATGTAATCATACCGGCAACTCGACCTTTTACGTGCCAGAAGGCACATATCTAGTCGGACCAGTCACATTTTCAGGGCCTTGCTTTAATAACGAGTCACCTGACATAAAAATCGCGGGCACCTTGATAGCACCTACGAGCCTCACTGCTTTTCCCCATTCCAGTTGGATTGTGTTTCAAAATTTAAAAGAAATCAGACTAACCGGAGCAACTAAAACACCCGGAAAACTAGATGGCCAAGGTGCAGTCGAAGCATGGAATCAGATAAGTTGTCGAAAATCGATGAGATGTGACCAATTAGTCACTGTAAGTTGTAAAATCCTTTGAAATATTATTAATTAGACTGTTGAAAAATATGAATTAACTAACTTGAAATTAATTAATTCAGTCATTAAAATTCAGCAATGTTTCAAAGGGGACTATCAGCAACATTAGTCTGTCAAATAGTAAGGGTTTCCACATTGGTTTCCATGGCAGCGACAACATCAATGTCCACAATGTCAATATTACAGCTCCCTGGGATAGTCCAAATACTGATGGTATTCATGTAAGCTACTCCTCGAACATCAACATTACTTCATCGAGCATCGGAGTGGGTGATGATTGTGTCTCCATCGGCCCTGGCAGTGTCAACATCTCCGTTTCCGACACTCATTGTGGTCCAGGCCATGGAATCAGGTATCATTCTAGTCCTTTGAACTAATTTTTTCAAAAACTAACGGGCATATTTTATTATCTACCGAAAATAATTAGTAGAAAATCGATACTAATCAACACTCGGACAACAAATTTTTAGATCTACTAAAATTGAAACTAGCTTTTTACCCAAATTGATAGCGTAGGAAGTCTTGGCAAGTATCCAAATGAGGAAGATGTGGTTGGAATTAGTGTTTATAACTGCACAATCAGCGGCACCCAGAATGGTGTAAGAGTGAAATCTTGGCCTGGTGCTCCGCCAAGCCATGCTTCGGACATGGTGTTTGCGAATATCACGATGATCAATGTATCAAATCCCATAGTTATAGATCAAGACTACTGTCCTTCAAATAGCTGCAATCGAACCAATGTAAGTTTAACAAATCTTCATGTATTAATAATTCTTATTATTTACACTTAACACGTTTTTCCACCAGCGAGTTTATCAGATTCAATGCGTCAATCAAGCACAAACATTTTATAAACTTTAATCCGGGATTCGGAAACAAGTATTTATTAATCGCTGGTGTTTTTTTTTTTTTTTTTTTGGTTTTGATGTAGCCATCTTTTTTGGAGCTCAAAAACATTACCTTCAGGCAAATTAGTGGGACTTACAACACAAAGTCAGCTGTAACTTTGCTATGCAGCAATGAAGCATCCTGTGAGGACATACAATTTGTGGATATAAACCTGAAATTCACCCAACCAGAAAGTCCTCCACAAGGCCGATTCAACGCAAATGGTGTTATTCACCATTTACTAGTTAATAACTCAAGTTTTTAAATTCCACTAAAATTTTTCTTGTACAAAAAGATAATCGTCTAAAATTTCAGACAGACAAACAAAATTTTCTTAGATATTATTAAGGCACGACCTGAATCCGGCCTGAGTTAACCAATAAGTTAGTTTACTGGTATTGATGATTGAAAATGGGATCGGACTAAAATTGTCGAAGTGGGCGAAATAGGAACTGTAAACGGCAATCTCAGCTTGCATTTTAGCAAGCTGGGTCTCGGCTTTCTGGATTTGTTTTTGTAACAGAGAAATTATCCCAACACAGCCATAGACAGGATCTTCAATTCTACACTGCGCCTCAAAATTTAATGAATCCATTGCTTCTGCTCTTACATGGGCTGGGAGTTGCTGAAACGTTATGATCAAAATTCTTAAATGTCAAAAACTCAAATTGAACATCACCAAAATGGGTTCATTTCTTTTATAAATATTAAAATATGAGTTGGGTTTTCCTTTTTTTAGTACAGTTCTTTTATAAATATATATATATATGTATATGTATGTATGTGATATGTAATGAAATGGGATTTACCTTGAGCATCTTTCCAACATTGCTGGCACCATAAATTTTATGGACAGAAGAAAATCTTTGAGGATTACTCGAAGGAAAATAAGGAGAGAAAATGCAATCTTGAGGGGATTTTCTTCTCAAATACTTACAAGCTGCGCAGCGGCCATGAGTCATCACTTCCAAATCTTGACAAAATCTTAAGTTGAAATATTCTTGAGGATTTCAGAGAAAGAAGAAGAAATCTATTGCAGATTGTTTTGTATTTTTTTGTTTCAGAAAATTGACCTAATTATATATTGTATTTGAGAAGAAGGTTAGATTTAGCTTTTAAAGAAATTTCTCCAACGGATTCTGTTAATTGAAAGGAAAGTTTGTAAGAACATTTTATAGATTGGGATTTTCCATTTTCTAGATTTAATATTTTTTTGGTTAATTTTCTTTACCCTGATTTTTGGACAGGATTGTAATTAATAATATTTCAAGTAATAAATTGTCCTACACTGTCCGTCTGAAAACGTCGTCGTATTTATCGCAAAGCAGCTGGGTCCTCCTCTAGTCTTTTACCACCCAAAAGCTCGGATACAAGAGAGTACAGATTCGAATACAAACACCATAAATCATCTTTTCGTTAACGGAAAAAACACTATAGCTGATCAGAAATGGCGCATGTTACTGCTCGGCGAGCTCTGGCATCACTCCTCACTCGGTCCTTTTCTTCATCTCCTTCTTCTCTCTCCTCTCGTGGTCGTTTTTGTCTTCCTCTCCTCGAGAAGAGCCTTCTGCCGCAAGTCTTGCCGGACGCGGTGAAGATACCGACCCGACCGAAGACGTCCGGTTCGGGTTACTCACCCTTGAACGATCCGTCCCCCAACTGGAGCAACCGACCACCGAAGGAGACGATCCTTCTAGATGGCTGTGATTACGAGCATTGGCTCATAGTCATGGAGTTTCCCAATGAAACCAAACCCTCCGAAGAGGAGATGATCAACGCTTATGTCAAGACGCTAGCTACTGTTGTGGGCAGGCAACCAATCATCTTGTCTTTTGTTTTTTTTTTTTTTGCTGTATCGATTTTCGTTGTTTCCTTTCTTCTCTCTCAGTTAAGTTTGATTATTATTTTTTTCAATCGTTGATTGCAGTGAGGAGGAGGCTAAAAAGAAGATCTACTCTGTCTGTACCACGACGTATACTGGCTTCGGTGCCTTGATATCTGAGGAGCTTTCTTACAAAGTGAAAGGTTTTGAGCTTTATTTTGGGAATTAGGGTTTAAATCTTTTTTAAAAAATATATATGATGCTATGATCGATTAAATTGATTTTCGGATGATGAAGAGTCGAAAGATGGGTGTTCTTTAGTTACTCGTTTGAAAACTGGTTTGTTCAATCTTTGTGTGCTTGGCAATTGGATTGAGGAAATGTTTAGGGTTTAGGGTTTTAAGTGATGATTATATTGTTTGGTTCAAATTATAGATTTTGGTTGAACTAATTTGATGATTTTTCAGGGGTTGTTAATAGAAAATTCAGGATTTTTGCTTGTTCTATTTTCTGTGCAAAGTTATTGCATCTTTATCAGACTAAGTAGATTTCTTCTGTGTCCTGGTTCTACAGGCTTGCCGGGTGTTCTCTGGGTTTTGCCAGATTCATATCTTGATGTTCCCAACAAAGATTATGGAGGTAGACATTTTATCTCAAACATCAACTTCAATGAGAAATCAGCTATTTTCATCTGTTTGAATTTCCTTATAGCTTTCTGAAGCTCACTCCTTTTACAATTTTTGAATTGATGATCAGGGGATTTGTATATCAATGGGAAAGTAATACATAGGCCACAGTATAGGTTCAACGAGAGGCAGCCAACTAGGAACAGGGCTCGCCCACGGTATGATAGGCGTCGAGAAACAATGCAGGTTGAAAGGAGAGAGCCAATGCAAAGACAGAGTTGGAACCAAGGTCAGACAGGAACTATGCAGCAAACACCATCAACAAACAATCAGAATACTTCAGCTTACAATGGAGAAGGGAATCACCGATGAATAATCTGAGTTCAGCTTACAGCGAGAGTGAAGTGACCCTATGAATCAAGGGAGATAAACAGGAGGAATTCATGGTATTCAGGAGTACAGTTTGCTAATCTTGATCTTAGATTTTTATTTTGAGTCTTGTTGTGTTCCTTATTTGCTAGGTGAAAGTCGAGTTTTCTTGAACTAGATTCCATGACATACATTACCTAGAGTTTCATTAGAATACTGTGAATAATTATGTTTCATTTCATATAACGTTCTTCCTTTTGGTTATTGTGAAATTCCAATCATCATCAGGTGTCCTTACATGTGATAGAAATCGTTACCGTCATTACTTTAGGTTTTTTTTCCTGATTGTTATCATTTTCAAGTTCCAAATGCTTATTTTTGCTCCATGAATCTTCCGTAAGTGATTGTTAAGGTCCCCTAAATTAGAATCTAGTTATGAATTGTTGTGGAAGAGAATAATTGCTTGTAAAGAGAACTCGTTACGATGAGGACTTGTCCAAGAGAAGCCTGTGGTCCCTGATTTATGCATCATATAAATTTAGAATTCCTAAACTTTTTTTAAGATAAATTATGCTAACTTTTTTGTTTATAGATCCTATAGGTTTATACACAACTTCGGACACAATATAGGATCTTAAATTTATAATTTGCAAACTGCCTGGGTAGCTCTCAGATTTGTCTGGAATAACTTCTTCCCACACTTTTGGAAAAGCACAATGAAAAACTGTCAAGAACTGCAGAAAACTTGAAACACTTTTCTTGTCTCTGTGTATAACTTTTATAGACCAAACCTTATTAGTTTAGCTCATCGAAACAAGGCACTTTCTTGTATGCAATTGTTGTTGTCTTTGCATTATATAATGGTTAAGAGAGATTATAAATGGAGATTCTTTTCTTTAACTACTAGAATAAACTCCCTTATCGGAATCTTACCTTGCGGATTCTTAGTATTCTCCCGTAGCTTGTGGGAGGTTTACTGTGTGTTTGAGGGCTTTTTTTAAGAGAGGAAAAGAGGGGTTTTAAAGTAAACTAGGGGGAGATAGAATAAAGTAAAGGTTATTAAGCAAACCTTGTTTGGAAGTGTATTATAGTAAAGAAAGTAAAAGGAGTTTTTAACCTCACTCTTGTTTGGTTGAACAGAGTAGGTAGAGTAAGGTTCTATTAATCTGACAAAATTACTTTTTATTGTTTCCTTCTCTTGTAAAAACTCCCAAACACACTGCCCTATACAACATTAGAGCACATACATTAAATAATACTTGCTTTTTTTAAATAAAAATTATTATTAGTTAGCTATATTATCAAATTATAGGAGTATGTTAGTCAGATACATGTAAAGTCATAGCTTACAAGTTTTGTGGTATACATATATATATATATATATGTATGATGGTAATATTGTCAGAGCCATATACACAGACAAAACCCAGTATATTAGCAATGTATTAGATTGGCAAGTTTAGCAGACAGCATATGGTTGACAAGTTTGAAGTAGCAAATTCTTAAAAGAAAGAAAATATACCTTGATTAGTTTGAAAGGCTAAGCAGGCGCGGGTGAAAGAAGAAAAGACTGATGGAAGAGAGAAGAGAAAGTTTGATGAAATAGTTGTATATGATAGGACTATTATATTATATATAGGTTAAAGTGATTTTAGAGAGTAATGGAACTCTCCCAAATGAAGCATTAGGCTCTAACGTGAGGGCATTTAGTGTTGTCAGTATTCGAAGTAAGATCTTCCTAGATAATCCTGGTTCTAAGTAGACAGTTTACAGTTTCTCTGGAAGAATGTTACTGTAAACTCAGAACTTAAATATTAGTATGTGAATGGTAACTTTTCAACCATTATATTAGTTTTGATTTAGATGGTCTGCACTATTCTCTCTGCATATAAAAAGTTGTAGATTTAACTCAAAGTGTGTTTTTGTTAGGGAGATTGTGTTACAGTTGATATATATATATATGTGTGTGTGTGTGTGTGTGAAACCTCAATACTTACTATTTCAAGAAAATGTAGTTAGAAAACCAACTTTGATTTTCATACCCTTGTGGAAATTTATAAATATTATTGTTAAAATAAGGAGTGTAAAAAGAATATATTATGGTAGATTTTTATGGGTAAAAAGAAAACTATGATTATATTTACTGTAGTTGAAAAGGTAAAATAGTAGAAATTACATTTTTTTTGTTGAAAGTATTCTATTGTTACAACAGTAACAATTAATAATTATGTAATTTAAAAATAATAATAATATAAAAATATTTTTCACGCTAATATGAAATTCTATCGAATTAAATACACAATAATTATTAAATAAAAATAATAATAGAAAATCTCATTTTTTTAAGCTAAAATTTCTAACATTTTCTTAAGCATTATTTCCATTAATATAAATTAGATTATTATTTTGTGCCATGCACAGAATCTAATTTTTATAATTATATAAAATATTGTATGATTTTTATTTTATATTAATAATATTAACTAAAATAAAAAAAATCTAATAAAAGTTTAAAAAATTATACTTTGTATCAATTAAATGAATTGATAACTATGATATAATTTTTCTTATATTATCATGTTGATTTTATTTAAAAATAAGTAAATAATTTATATATATATTATTACATTAAATATTAATTTGTTTTTAGAAAATTAAAAAATTGACACGATATCTTTATATATATACACACATATATATATATATATATCAACATATTGGTATTGATCTTTTATCAAGAAAAGGCAGTAGTAAATAGTAATTCAAAAGAAATATTTTTAATATTTTTTAAAAAAAAATTACTTTTTAAATGTAGATTTATATATATATATATATATATATATACACACACTCAAAAACGATTTTCTGATTCTAAAAAAAGACTTCTTCAGACCAAAATCAGAATCATTTAAATTCGACGGAGGAGAAGCTTTCCACTCGGTTTCTTACCTCTTCACCAGTCTCCACCATCTCTCTCTCTCTCTCTCTGTGCGGAGAGATCGCCAAGGTTCAGAATAGCATCATCATCATCACCATCACCGCTTCGTCTCCTTTGGTCCAGCTAATCAGATTTTTCACGATCTAATTTCTGCATCCTTGATATAGTCATCATTCTGCCTTCACATCTGGTAGAAGCAAGAAATGAACTCCAATTACGGTAAGGGATCATCTGGCTCACTCAACAACTTCCAGTTTGATTTTGGGATCGGATCCACCCGACCCAAATCCCTCAACGATCAAAAGAACCAGCCTTCTTCGTATTCCTCGTACTCACCGTCTTCCAATTCGGCAACGCAATCCAAACCAGCATGGCAACCAAACAAGCCCTCCTGGACGCACCAACCGGCTCCTACTCACGCGACCGGAGCCGGTTTATCCAGTGGATCCACTCCAATGGTTGGTGATATCTTCGGTAAGACCTGGACTTCTTCTGCACCCGCACCCTCTGGATCAGCTTCTAGCATAGGGATTGTTAATAAGAACCCTAATTTATTTGGGGATCTGGTCACCTCTGCTCTTGGTCAGGGTAAAACTAATAGTAATGTTCCTCTGAAGAATGCTAAACCTTCATCGACACAAATGGCGGCAAATAAAAGCCCCTACTCGATGGGGAATTTGGCTGATTCATTGCCCAAAACCGGTAATTCAGTTAAAAATGGTGCTGGTTGGGGATCTTCTGAAAATTTTGGGGGCTCTTCTGGTGGGTATCAGAGCAGTACTAATAATATCAATGGTAATAATAATAACAAGAGTCCAAATCTTGGGGGTCCTTCGATGCGGAGTATGACTGGAGGTGGAAGTGGAGGTGCCGTAAATTCGAACAAGGATCCATTTGGTTCCTTGTTTGATTTCGGATCAAAACCATCCGGAAGTCTGAATTCGGGTGGCAAAAGTAACAAGGCCCGTGCTGGGGATGATGCCTTTGGGGATTTCCAGAATGCTCCAAAATCAAGCACATCTTCATTCCCATCAACTGGTTTTACGCCATCAAACGCCAGTTCTGGTTTGAAAATGGATGATTTTGGGATGCCCACCAACGATTTCACAGCTCCAAATCAGCCCACTAGCCAATCTTCGGGTGCTGGTGATCCTTTCAACATGTTCTTTTCAACATCTTCAGGATCTGGGATTGCTACTACGACATCTGGAGGAGGCGGGGAGCAACAATTCTCGGAAGTTGATGACTGGGGGATTGGTTCAGAATTTGGTGGAGGAGGTGATGACTCAGGTGGAGCCACCACTGAGCTTGAAGGCCTTCCTCCTCCGCCTGCGGGAGTAACAGCTTCAGCTGCAAAGAACAAAGGTATTGATAACCAAAAGCAGGGCCAGTATGCTGATGCCATTAAGTGGCTTTCCTGGGCAGTAATTCTCATGGAGAAATCAGGTGATAAGGCAGGCAGCATGGATGTTTTATCATGCCGGGCATCATGTTACAAAGAAGTTGGGGAGTATAAGAAGGCTGTGGCTGATTGTTCAAAGGTATCTTCCCCTTTCCTTTCTCCTTTATAATTGACAATTGTTTAGCTTACGCAATATGTGCCTTTCATATGTGTGTAAATATATATATATATGTCCATATACATGTAAATAGTAGTTTGATTGATATATAAATGTTAATGCACACATCCATAAATTTGCATATAACAATGTGGACTGAATCATTGAATGAACTTACTTTCTTAATTAGGGGTAAGATTGCAATAATGTCGTAAAAGAATTGTGGCAATTGAGTTACTGATTATGGAAAAACAATTTGGCCTGCTACATGCCAATTTTCAAGTTATCTAAATTTCATCTGATTAAGTGATTAATAAGTTCCGAAGTTCTGATTATTTCAAAAATAAAAAAGTTCCAAAGTTCTGATTAACTGAGGTTTGTAGTTTTAAGGAATATGACAATCATATGAGGAATGCAAGTTTGTCTGGTTCCATATTCACAATCACACCAAGGATGTTCATAACCATCAAATTGATCTATTACAAGTCTTACAATCTGTATTGTGATGTTTAGGTGCTAGAACAGGATGATGCAAATGTATCTGTCCTCGTACAACGAGCACTTCTTTATGAAAGTATGGAAAAATACAAACTTGGGGCAGAAGACCTGAGAACTGTGCTGAAGATCGATCCTGGTAACAGGATTGCAAGAAGTACCATTCATCGCTTGAATAAAATGGCAGCAGGCTAGAGAGGTTCATTGACGTTTGTATTACTCTTCTTTTAAGATGATAACTTTTTCCCTTTAAGTATAAACAAAGAAAAATGGGGGAATATGTTTTTTTTTTTTCTTTTGCATGATACATGGATTCAATTGATAGATATTGCTTTCTGGTAAACTTTACATGTATGATTCATTTGGGTTTTATCAATTTTGTTTATTTGTGACTGGAAAATTTTATTCTTTGGCACTTAAAAATTGATTTGAAATATTTTTTCAAATTGCTTTTTGTGATGTAACTTTTGCATTCTCTATAAATCATCACTGTTCAACGGATTGATACCTTGTTTACATCTCAAGATACATTTTGATTTCCAGGATGTCTAATGTCTAAAAGTTTTACTTGCTTGATTTCTTCTTGGAACTCTGCTGATGACTGTTATGAGTAGAAAAATTTTCTTATTGCTCAATAGTTTTCCTCCATTTTTGAGGATCAGAACGTTTCTTAGTGTAAGCATCTTATGAGTTTGTACCTTGTGTTAGTATAGAATAAGCAGAGACATGTATGTATAAGCAGGACAAGTTCTGAATGCAGACAGAATCATAGGTGTATCCAGAATGTTATTCTAGGATCTCTTTTAAAACTTATCTGGAGGTGGCTCATAACCTAGATGATCTGTTTAGAAGTTGTTTAGAACAATCTGTATATGTTTTTTTCTTTTCTTTTTTTTTGAAAGAAAAAGTATTGAAACTGTATTAGTCTAGTACCAAAAAAGATGGAGTATCGCTCATTTACAAGATATTTTACAAATTAGTTAGTATATTAAGGACATCCTCAAAATCTTCAGCCTTGATGATGTCATGACCTAGCACGAAGAAAGCCAAAATAATTGAACCATCTCTCACAATCTGTATATGTTTTTATGTTCAATTAGGTACAAGAGTTCAAATTTCGGCTTAAATAGATCAAATCTTGGACGAAAATTGCTGTCAACTTACGCAATCAAGTTTAAACAATATGATATTTGATTATTGTTTTTTTGAAAAGTAATGATATCTATGTTTTGGATTCAAATAAATCAATGAGTTAATAACTTACGACAAAAGTTATGCTTGATAATTAATCTCAAAAAAGTTACCTTTAATTTACTTTGTAGTTGTAACATTCAAATTTTATTATTTTTATTTTTTAATTTATTTTAATTTATATTAGAATTTTAGTTTAATTTTTTAATATTTAATTTATAAAGTTTTAATTTAATTTAATAAAAATAAAAATAATAATAATGATAAAATAGGATAAAATTATTTTTAGGATTTAATTGAAATTGATTTTAAGAAAAAAGGGTGAAATTTTGGATTTTGTAGTTATTTTTGAAAAGAAAATCAGAAATTGGGGGTCAAAACACAATTTATGAAAGTTGTATCACGTCAGCAGCCCAGTCAGCAGTCCCGGCCAACCAGAACACGCCGCGTGGCAAGGAAGCTGACACGGGAGGCCACGCGGGACAGAGCCACGTGGGCGATCCGCGTGCACGCGATCGAACGGTCCAGATCTCACGCGTGCGGACGGCCTAGATCTCACGCGCACGGACGGCCCAGATCACATCGCGATGGACGGCTCATATTTATTCCCATTTTAATCGCGATCGGACGGTGCAGATTAAATTATAATGGACGGCTGAGATTAAAAGGGGAATGTTATAAATAACCTCACCCACACTCGACCCCAGACCCTAACCGCCAGTACCTTCGCCGGAGAAAAAGAACCAGTCACCGGAGGAGCCGGCCGCCGCCACCTGCCGCCGCACCGGAGGGTTTTTCGACAGCCAAACGAGGTAAATTTTCTCCCATTGGCTCGTTTTTCAATGTTGAATCCGCCTACGGCCAAATCGGAGCCAAACCACCGGCCAATCGGCCGAAAAACACCGCCGAAGTCTAGCAGCACCACCGCGGCTTCTCTCAATTTTTGCCTCCAATGAGGTCCTTTCCGGTTCCCGTTCGATGTAATTTTTACACTACTGTGATCACCGTCCTTTTCTCTACAGGTTGACCGGAGCAAAACATCAAATCGCAACTCGCGCCGCAGAAGTCACCGCACCCGAGAGCTCCGCCGCCGGTAAGTCTTGGTTTTTCATGATTTTTTGGCCCACCGAGGGCCCTAACGTTGTTTTATCGCAGGAACCAATACAAGTTTGGCCGAATTCGGCTGAAAATGGCCAACCCGAGGCGGATCGCCGCCGCGGGAGGCAGTGTCGTCGCCGGAGCACGGTAGAGCCGCCGTGCCAGAATTTCAATATTGGCCGAAAAGGGGCCCTAGGTCTGATTTGGGGTTTTTTGGGACACGTGCAGATACCGATAGTGCGTTTCAGTTTTCTGAAAAAAATTCAGAGAATTTAGGGACAGCCCGTAAGCGCATTGTAGAGCCAATTTCAGACTCTGAAACAAGTAAGGATCTCTCACCCTGTTTCCTATCACGGTATTAAAGTTTAATAAATGATAAACGGTATTTTATGAATTAATAGATATGTATAATTAATTATAGTTTTAAATGCAGTATGATATCTGATGTGTTTGTTTTATAGTTTCGTATGCATGAATCATGGTTTTATTTATTATGGTTTGAATTATGGTGAACCCGATGTTGTGTTGTTTGTTTGGTGTTCATTACTGATTTATGTGTTTATGTTTGATTTAATAATTGAGACAAAGAAAAATAAAAAAATGTTATGTGAATTGATAAATGGATATTGTGGACAGCCTAACTAGATATCCTGAGAGATGGTGGACGGACTGGGTCCGTAGGGAATCCTACCGAGAACGTGGTCTCTCATATCGGACGGGGTATGGAGACCTTATGTGTTTTGGCGCCCATACCGAATGGGATATTGGGGATGGCCCGTTTCACCCTCATATCGACGGGGTATTGAGGTTCATGGTTTTGGTGCCCATACCGGACGGGGTATGGGGATGGCCCTGGAATCAGATTATTAATGTTAATGGTTCACGTGTAGCGGGGACCCCCTATGGATCCCCATGGATACTAGTAGGCTGGTAAAAGAGGAAATTTGTTGTCTGATTATTGAAGTGCAAAAGTATAACATGTGTTATGTTACAAAGTATATATGATTTTATAATGGTTATAATGTTATTGTTTTCATATGTTATTTTCATGAATCTCACCGAGATAAGTGGACAGTAAAGGTTTTTATTATTAATAAATGAGTTTGTTATAAGTTATGCTCCATTGGTCGTTTTTGTTTTCTACCAACCTTTACTTATGTGGTAGTGAGATAGTGTGATGTTTTTACTGAGCTAGTGTAGCTCATTCCTTACTTAACCGTTTCAGATCAGAAAGACGCGGTTCCCGAGCTCGTTCCGCAGGAAGACGGCAAGTTAGACACCTAAAGATTTTATAGTTTCTATTTCGAGTATTTCTTTTAATTAGCTTATTCTTTCATACGTTGAATACGTTTATGGTTATTGTGTAAGGAATGTTAATCATAATTTTTATTTCGCTTCCGCACTTAAAATTTTTAATACATACATCTTTATTTAAATTTCTGGGGCTGTTACAGTAGGTAAAAGAATTACAAATTTTTCACAAAAGTAATGTAAAAAGATTCATCTATTGACATGGTAGGATTAATTTTCGATATTTCTTGTTGTTTCTTATACCAAATTATGATGTAGGCTCTTACTCTTAAGAGACCTTAGAGTAAGCACTCTTCCTAAGTGCAATAGAAGTTACTAGCTTAGACCATGAGCCTTTTTTATCACCAATTAACTCGGTCCCGATAAGTGCAATAGAACTCATTAGCCTTGACCATGAGCTTTCTTGATTACCAATTGACTCCGTCTAGGTAAATAAATTTCATCTATCGGTATCATTTTCTATACCAACCAAAATATTTTTTAATATCTATGAGCTTAAATTCGATGGTTGTGGTAGAGGAGGTTCTCCTAGCTAGTTAATATAGAAAGTTTTTCTAATATAAGGAGTCAACCTCGATAATTAGTTTTATAATATCTTTTTTTTTCATGGAAACTTCACCTTCTAGCACACTGTGCTATTCATTCAACTATCATTAGACGACTCTTATTGAGCTCTGATTGAAGCTCGCGATCTACCCTTTCTAATCATTTGTAGCTTTTTAATAGTCAATTCTCCGTGACTATCTGTTTTGTGTTTGAACCAATTTGTTGAGTGGCATTTCCATCATACCCTTCCCATACATGTTTTAAAAGAAATTTTCATATATTATTCAAAGTTTTTTAAAATCTTTTTCATATAATTTAAGAAATAAAAAATAATATAAATCGTTCTATATAAAATTAAAGATTTTATTTTTTTGAAGATAATTAATTGTAATGAATCATCTAATATAACTTGTAAATTTTATATTGGCAAAGTAATTGGCTTTTTATTTTAATTGTATTATAAAGTCCCAGAACATTAAAAAAATAAAATTTATAATTTAAATGTGAAAGCGAATAATAAAGTTATGATTTATATTTCTTACACAATAATTTAAAATGTTTAATAGGATTATGAGAATATCTCTTTTAAAATATAAATAGTAATTAAAGAAATTAAAAAAAATGAATAAATAAGCATTCTAAAACAACTTTCACTAACACTTGAAAAGAGTGCGGGTGATGAACTATTCATAACTCTCTCACTGATCGGGATCTTGATCTTGATCTTCTTGATCTAAAATGGTTAATGAAATAGTGAGCTATACTAGTATAATAAGAATATTACACTAATCACATATACGAAAAAATAAATATTGATAAAAATAAGAAGAACAACTAATAGAGTTTTTGATACTTACCGTAATGAGTTTTTCAAAAAACAACCTATGAAGACCCATATCCAAATCACTTTTCATTTTCCGGCATAAGAGAACAAGAGACAATAATTTGACTTTCTTACTTGCTTACTAGTACCATTTGGGGTCCATAGGGATGTCTCATTACTCGTGAACCGAATATCTAATTTTAAAAATTAACCAGTCGTCCCCATACTCTGTCCAGTAATGGGCGCCAAACATTCCATTGCATCGATACCCCATCCGATAAGAGGTTGAACCATATCTTCCAAACCTTTCTGATATGCGACTTCTCATACACGTCCGACTGAGATAACGTTTACGGTAGGATTCTCTATGTACCGGGCTCATTCGCTCTTTCCCTAGGTACCCAATAAGTCATTAACAAAACAACCAATAA